TTTCTGTCAATGACTTCAGATAGAATATAGGAAGAAGAAACATCTTTAGGCCTTACTTGAGCTCCCTCTTTAGTAGAATTTAACCACCCAGTTTTAGAAATGTTTTCTTTTTTTAAAAAAAATATTTTTAATTGATTTCAGAGAGGAAGGGAAAGGGAGAGAGAGATAGAAACATCAATGATGAGAAGGAATCATTGACCAGCAGCCTCCTGCACATGCCATACTGGGGACTGAGCCCACAACCTGAGCATGTGCCCTGACTGGGAATCCAACTGTGACCTCCTGGTTCATAGGTCAATGCTCAACAACTGAGCCATGCCGGCTACACTAGAAATGTTTTCTTAACCTATCAAGTTTTAGAAATGTTTTATATCAATTTTTAAGCATTCAATTATGAATGTCTCCTATAGGATAATGGTTTTTTAAACAGTGTTTAAAAAAAAGTTGTTTTTTTTTAAGTACATTCAAGTAGAAGGGCTCATTGCTTTGAAAATTGTATTAATTTTATTTTTACTCCTTGAATAGAAAGAGTAGGAAGGGTTTCTATTGAAATACCCAGGATACTAAGTGAGTGATCCTGTTATAACATTTTCTGGAATGTAATTTTTGTGTGAGATCCCTCCAAATTATAACAGTTCATTATGGGTTCTCACACAGAACTTTGGTTTCATTTATGAATTTCTCAAGATCGCAGCTTTGTGGTCTGAACTGCTTTTGTCATGAAATGAGGAATACCTGAGCAGCACTTAAATTTACTCAAAATCATATAAAGGATACTAGAAGCCCCTAAGATAACCCTATAAACAGGAAATATAACAACTTATGACAAAAATATAGGAAGAAAAGACAATCTGACATCTGTGGCAGCTAGGCACTTGCCTTTGTGTTCTGGCCTTGGGCCTTCTATTTTCATGCATTTAATTTTGTTTACTCTCATGTTTATCTAGATTTTTAAGCCACTAAGAAATTTTTGACATAAATTATTTTCTTTCTTCCTACCCCTTCCCAAGAAAAAGATCCTTGGAGTTATCCTAAGAGTTAAACCAATCAGGATCCCAATCCTCATTAAAGGATATAAAGTAAACAAAATGTAGGAGAGAGAAGTAGAAACAGAAGTGTCTCTGAAGGCCCAGGGCTGCTGTCATATTTAACATGTTATAAATGTTCTGAAAAAAGAGTAAACAATGAAATCACTAGGTTAGAGATGATGTTCAGCTCCTCAGAGGTCTGACAGACCAGACTGATGAGAACAAGCTACAGTGTCGTGCGCCTGATGAGTGCAGATGAGATTGACTGGGAGCAGCCGCGAGGGGAATGAACCCCGGATACCTAACCATGTGTGGCTGAGCCTCTGGACTTTTGGAAATGTCCATTTATGGAAAATAAAAGCTCTGTGGACGGTCATTTCCTGAGTACTTCAACTCGACTTTGGTGCAACTCAACCTTGCAAATCAACAACTATAGAGTAGCCTAAAGCATAAAATTAGAAACAAAATAGAAAATAATATTTTGGCCTTTTATATAAAACATGTTACTTTCAAACTTATAAGTTGTATCAACTCCACTTAAGCTTTTATTTTTGTATTTGACAAATGCTTTATTTATTGCTGATTGTCCCAAGCACTTTGTACATGTAAATAAAAATACAGTTTCTTATCTCATACAGTACATCTAGGTAATATATAAATGTGCTTATGAAATATTAAATAATATTAATTATATATTATTCTTAATGTATAAATATAATACTTGCGAAAGTTAAATACTATTCTAATCCCCATTTACAGACGAGGAAACAGAGGCATGGGCAGGTTGAATAAAACATGAGATAGAAGATGCAGAAATATCATTTCTAATATAACTGAGAGGGTGGAGGCATTTCTAAATCTTTACTGATTAAAATGTATAGTACTCCACATTGAAAGGGAAAATATAGAAAACAAATATAATGAAAGAATACAATGAAAATGAAGGCTACCAATGGACATAAGATACTGGGGGGTAGGGGAGGCCAGGGGATTGTCAAGGACGGGGGAAAAAAAGGACACATATGTAATACCCTTTGTAATACTTTAAGAATAAAAAAATAAATAAATAAAATAAAATTTTAAAATGGAAAAAAAAATAAAAAAATAAAATGAAGGCTAGCGGTTTTCAAACTATCCTCAGTAGATAGTTTGGAGGTACCTAGTGAGCCAGGAGAGCCAACAGTGAAGGTCATTGTTGTTTGTTTATCTTTTTATATCTTGGGCTCGTCTCCCAATAAAAGTACTCTGAAGTTAAAAAGTTTGAATGCCAATAGTATAGATCAAAATTTCCTGTATGTATTCAACCATACTCATGAATTATTTTTTCCCCAAAGCTACTGTTTTTTGTTTTGTTTTTTTTTAATGCGGGGTGGGGGTAAGTGGGACACACTTTGTGACATAAGATAGGACAATCAACCATGTTTAAGAATCTAATGATCATGTATGGTATGTTCACCAAATCTCTTACTTATTTTGGTAACTTACATAAGCTACCACTGTATCTATGGTATTTAGATATTCCAGGAAATAATGTACACTAAGTATAGAAATAGGTGTAAGTGGAGCTTATATTTCTTAGATAAATACATAAACACGTTAGCAGACTGCTGAAGGGCACTGATGTAATGATAAAGCTGTCATTTATTATGTAATTCTTGAGGCCCAGTGCACAAAATTCGTGCACTCAGGGGCGGGGTGTCCCTCACAGTCTGGGAGCCCTCGGGGGATGTCCGACTGATGGCTTAGGCCCACTTCCCATGAGGAGCAGGCCTAAGCTGTCAGTTGGACATCCTTAGCACTGCCACAGAGGAGGGAGAGGCTCCCGCCACTGCGACTGCACTCTCCAGCTGTGAGCCTGGCTTCTGGCTGAGAAGCACTGCCCCTGTGGGAGCACACTGACCACCAGAGGGCAGCTCCTGCATTGCACATCTGCCCTCTGGTGGTCAGTGCGCATCATAGTGACCAGTTGTTCCGCTGTTTGGTCGATTTGCATATTAGGCTTTTATTATATAGGATTAATGAAGGTAATAGTGGTGGCTCACTATTCAGAAAACAAAGATGAAGTAAAACTCAATGATATCCAATAGCCAACAGGTAATCCTTCTCTCTGTGCGAATGTGCTCAGGATTTAGAGATGAGCTCAAACCATGTATTTGTGGATCTGTTTAGCTCCACCTGTTTAAAAAATAAAGCAAAAACTAAGGACAGATGATAGAAACCTAGTGGAAAAAAAGGAATGCCACTTCTCTCCTTATGCTACTCACTTTCAGATGTTTTCTCAGCTTCAGAACAAAACAAAATAATCACAATATAAAAAATAATAGTTCACAGTCATTCCATTTGATAATTAAGTAATTTAAAAATAAACATTTGAAAGAAGCTGAAGTAAAGGTTTTTCTTTTATTGCTCATAAGCAATAAGACAGACTCACCCACACAGACAAGCATTTAATTGAAAACACTTTTTAATTACTGTGAATTATCTAGTTCTCTCTTTATAGAAATACCTTCAGGAAAGGCAGTTGAACTAAATTTTCATCTTTATTGTGTGGAGGCAATCTATACTTGACTTGCTCTACACTTAAGGAAAGACCCTCTGCATGTACTAAAATGTTTTCTTAAATGTATTTTTATAATAAATATAACTTCCCTCAAAAAGAGAAATGCCTGTATTTATTTGTGAGAAAGCTATGAAGTGTATCATAGCACTGAATATCCAATTGTTAAAGTCCTATCTCATATAAATAGAACTTGAAGGAATTTGTCATTTTAATTCTCTATAATTTATAGATTTCAGGTCATCCTTTATTTTAATCTTTGTTTCTTCTTTGGAAAAATAATGCCTATCTTTGTCTGATTCAGAAAGAATGCTGGTAATTTGTTAAAAATGTATTTTATTAAGATGTTTTTATATTAGAAAACTATATCATCTTGGTATTATACAGACAAATACAGGTCGAGGTTTATTGACTTTTGTTTCTTGTGTGCATTAGTCAGTCTTAAAATGGTAGAAACATGCTGTCCTGCTACCTACACACTGGGGAACAGTGCTGCCCACAATCCTCAAAAAGTTTAACCTAAATTCAGATCTAGATCTGAGAGAAATATAGCCTGAGATTTTGTGCCTCATGTCTGCTGTGGTTAGAGGAAGAAAAAAAAACTGATCCATTAATTCTACACTAATTCCCTTAAGACTCTATCCCCTTGGGGGGATAATATGAATACAATTTTACTTATTTGAAATAGGTTGTGCTTATATTCCTGAAAATTGTCCCATTTCTTGAATCCATTTAAAATTTTTCTGTTGGCATAGCAACAGATTAAAAGATCTACCACAGTTTTTAACACTTGCTTCATTCTTAAGAAAACAAAGCATATATTTATTTTACATTTAATTACATCCTTTCTGTCATCTTCTATCAGCCAATGCATATGAGACTTTCTCATTCCTCTAAGACATTCAACCCTAGAGTGTATGTTGTAATTAAAAACTATCATGCCAAAGCAGCTTTCTTACAAACAAAATAGAACAGTGTTTCACTAGGTCATTTTCTTATTTTGAAATATCTATATGTAAATAACCAAACATTTTTAGTATCTGACCTATGAAAAACCATCTCATCGATTATATTTACAATACTGAATTTGAAAGCTTCTATCAAAATATTACCCAAGAGTGTTTTCTCCTTGTCTGATAAATGATGTTTATAAATTCTTGGGGCATAAGTTAATGTTTTGGGAAACTACCCAGAATACAATGCCTAAATAGCTTAGTATATTTTCACACTTTGTTTTAATAAATTAGAATTTGAAAATGCATGAACTCAGAAAGCACATCTCTTTCACATCTCAGCACTGAGAGGGAAATGTTAACCCTTGTCCGAGAAGCCGATAGGAACTGTTTTGGACAGGGATTCTCAGCTCTGCTTGCACATTGGAAACATCTGTGGAGCTTTTAAAAGTGCCCAGCACTCCTCCCACCCTTCACCCCAATCCTTTGTAATTTTTCTAGAGTGAGTTTCAAGCAGGGATATATTTTACTGCCTCCCGTGTGATACTAATGTGCAGCCAGAGATTGGGACAAGACAATCAACATAGATAAGCGATGTATTCTGCCTCCCATCGTCCATGGGAGGAGGAAGCTAAAAGGAAAGTTGGAGGGCAAGTCCTTGACGATGAAAAAAGGTCAAGAAACTATGAGGTAAGAATGTTGATCATTTACACTCTATCAATATTATATTCTAAAATGGCATGCCTAGAATTAAGTAGTATCTAGATTTGGTCTGCAATGTACAGAGTAAGGAAGTTGATACTTCTTTTGTTCTGGCTAGCTTTTCTCTCAAGCCCATGACTGTATTCATTTTTCCACACCTACATGGTAACGTATTGGCTCATTCTCAAGGGTGGCCAATTTTCCAAAAATTAATAAAGTAAAATAAAATAAAACCAAATAAAATTAACAGCAGTTAAACCTGGTTTCTCCCATCTTGAATATGTAGAATTAAAATTTTAAAATAATCTTTCATGCTTATTTAAAAAAAAAATCCATCATTCTTATTTTGTCATCCAAAGCCTATCATTCAAAATACTCACTTCCTCTACCTGCCTTGTGTGATATATATGGTCTCCAAAGTAGAAAGCTGATGCTCTAGGAAACCAAAGGTTTGAATTGTTTTTCTGGATGTCAGATGCAAATATAGGTGGAGAACTTGCTTGGTTCTTATCATTCATCTTATTTAAGAATGTAAGAGGTGTAATTCTGGGTCAGACTAATTTCTTGTAGCCAGGAAATGACATCATGGTGTGTCCTTCAGAACACACATTGTAATACGGTCTTTAAACTTCCCCAATTTCATCAGTATATAGCATAAACAAATTAAAGGCCTGAGTTAATGTTTTAAGGTTCTCAAAATTTCTCAAACTTGACTATTTGTTGGTTTAAGGTTTTAAACTTACATACAATTGTTACCTTTTTGACTAAAGTTATAAAGGAAAGGGTACTAGATTGTCCTTTTTCCTTCTCATACTAAGGATTTGGTTACTACCACCACCACTCCTATGTCCCCGCCCCCCTTCTTGTTTTGTAATGGGCCTTAAACATTTGCTTTTGAAATACCAAATTTTAAATCCGACACTTACTGAACACATCTTATTAAGATGCAGAATTTAGTCTTTGCAACCCCCAAAATAACATCGTTATTAATTATTACTAAAAATAAAACTAGAAAGTGAGGTTTAAGATTGTTTTGCTAACCTTATCTGTCCTTAGACTATATCTCCAAAGGATGCTGAGAGTACTTTATTCAAAAGACATTTAAAATAAATATTGTCTCTACATGTTTTTTGGCAGATGTCTAATGATTCAAATTAAATGGAAACCAGTGTCTTACAAAAATCTGAAAAACCCCGAATTCCTTTATTAATTTAATAGTAAAAATTAACTGTATAATAATAATGATTATAAAAATGCTATATATTGTTTTAAAATTTTTAAATCAATCTGCAGACAAATTTTAAAAAGCAAAAATAAATGTAGGATATAAGGTAATGTAAATATTATAGACCTTGATAATATGAATAATTGTTTAGCCAATAGAATAAGGTAAGAAATAGACAGCAGAGATGGAAATGTAGGTGTGCTAATTTCCTTATCTTATATAGTGTATAGTAAATAGATACTATCTAACAATGATGAATAATGACTAACTAGAGGCTTGAAGTTAATAATTTATGATAAAATATAGCTTTTAGAAAAATTAAAATTATACAATATTACCAACAAAAACAAGAATTAAAAGGAGAAGAGGTGTGAGAGGTACTATAATTGGACTATTTTTCATAGTAGAAATTAGTCGAATATATATATATATATATATATATATTCCTTTATTTTAAAATAGAAACATTTAATCCTTCCATTTAAAAAACATTTTTTTTAATTTAGGTACTAGAGGGCTGTTGGGGGTGACCAGGCTGGCAGGGAGGAGCAGTTGGGGGTCCCCTCAGCTCAGCCTACACCCTCTCCATCCAGGACATCCCTCTCACAATCCAGGACCATTGGCTCCTAACTGCTCACCTGACTGCCTGCCTGATCACCTGTAAATGCCTCCCCTTCTGGCCTGATCACCCCTAACCACCTCTGCCTGCTGGCCTGGTCACCCCCAAGTACCCCTCCCTGCCGGCATGGTCACCCTCAACAGCCCCTTGTGCCAGTCTGGTCGCCCCCAGCTGCCCCCCTGCTGGCCTGTTCGCCCCCCATTTACCCCCTGCTGGTCTGGTCACCCACAACTGCCCCCCTGCCAGCCTGGTCGTCCCACGCAGACTACTGTTCAGTCATTTGGTCATCCCTCACTAACCCCCCTGCTGGCCTGGTTGCCCCATGTAGCCTGCTGTTTGGTTGTTACTGTTACTGTGACGGCATCCCAGACAATTTGCATATTTCTCTATTATTAGTATAGATAGTTGACATACAATATTATATTAGTTTCAGGTATGCAAGAACTTAGTAGATTCGATCTAAAAGTTATAAAGACTTAGAGTTATAAATATTCTATTTATAAGTATAATAATAATCACTGTAAAAAGAAGTAATAGAAATTGTTGAAAGAAGTTGCCTCTGGTAATGGAATTGGAGATGTTTTAGAAATGGAATATTTTACTTTTCATTATATACCGTTCTTTAGTAATTTAAATTTTTGTCTTACCAAATATATGTATGGCATTACAATTTAAAACAATTTTATGAATTAAGAAATAATTCATAAAGGATTTGCTTTATGAGGGTTTAATATTAACAAATATAACAGCCAATGCAAAAATAGAGTGTCAGAGGCTTCTCCTTGGAGAGCTCTAGGTTATGGTTTTCTATATGGATCCACCAGTTGTCAGCTCAGGGCACATGATCAAAGGCCTGAATGAGACATCATATCTATGACCTTAGGCTAAAGAACAACACATTCTGTAGGTTCATGTGGCTGCTTTCTTTGCATCAGTAGCCTGACTTAGTCTTTATTATGGGAGATTTAAAGTAGGAGATTTTTATATTATTAAAATCAAAATATATGTGAGTACACTCATTGATTCTTTCAATAACTGTTTATGGAAGGATCACTATGTACTGCACTGTGCACTGCACAAGGAACTGGGATACAAGTTTGAGAAAAATTGATAAGAGGCCTGGCCTCATCGAGCTTATCCTCTTGTAGCAAAGACCAACACTGATCAAAGTATCACAGAGCAATTGACTGACGGTGCAGTGAAGGGACTCAGTTTTATGATAGGGAGCAAAGAAACAAGATTTAAACTAAACAATCAGGAAAAGCTTCTCAAGAAAGGGATGGTTGACCTGAATACAAGGAATTAATTAGTCCTGAATAGAAAAAGAGAGTGTTCCAGACAAAAGGAACAGTGTGAGTACAGTTTATGGGCTGGAGGAGCAAATTGTGACAAGGTCAAGGACGCCAAAGAATGCTGTGTGACTGGCACAGAGAGTGAGGGGAGAACACTTGAGGTTATGGTTGGGACAACTGGTGTAGCATTTTTGGTTCCAAAGAACATCTAGTACTTTGCTCTGTAAACACTGGATATTAATATGATAAACATAATAATCACTGGATTTTTAAAGCATTTTCTCTGTGTTAGGCACTTTTATATGTATCAATTTATAGAAATGTATCAGCTCTCAAAACAACCTTGTGAAGTAGCTACCTCACTGTTTTGCTAATAAGGGAACAGGTAGTTAGTTATGTGTTAGAGTTTAGCTTGGAAGCCAAACAGTTGCAATGACCTCTACTCTTAGTCACTGCACTGTAATTAGCGCCTTTCGGGAATGAATGAATGCATGCATGGATAAATGAATAATATCACTTTGTTTTGAGATCCTGCAGACTAAAATGTAAGCATGTTTTCTCTGGACTATTGTACATTAGTGATGACTTCTTGCACTTGGTGAGCACTTTATTAGGAGCTAAAATAGGGACTACTATTTACTGATCACTTATGTGTGAGGTGCTATGCAAAAACTGCCTGCTTTCTCTTAGTTATTTGTTTATATGCCCATAAACCAAGTTAGTCTGTGAACTCATTGAGATGAGGGCCTTGTCTTATTCATCTTAGTACCAATGGTGCTTGTCCTATTGTTTGTCTTCAATAAATCTGCTTTTCCCTTTCTGTCCTTTCGTCCCATATTTAAGTGCAATTTTAATTGCTTAAGTGCAGAGAGAAGGAGTAGGTGACCTTTTAAGAACTTCCAGGAGCTGTAATTCTGAATGTCCAATCAAACTGCTGTTAACTCAGACTACATTTTAGTATGTAGCAGCAGGCTCAGTTAATTGAAAGATTGTCCTTAAATTCAAAAAAGGCTGATGCAGAAAGATGCATATAATTTTCAGCCAAATGTACTTTCTCTAAAATGTGCTTTCATATGCCTAATGAAGTTGTTTACTCTGATACTCTATCCGCATTGTTGGAAATGTATATTTTTAAAAGGAGATGTTGTTGCAAGACTTTTATGGTTATTTATCTGGGTTCTAATCCTCCTGAAATGATTCCATCCTCAGGCTTGCCTCAGGCCAAAACAATGTGAAGAGAACTAGGGCTGACCACAACCCCTAGTTCTCCATATCCTTCTATTTATAAAACTAACATCATAAAGAGATGTTGCAAAAATGTTGAGGTTAAAAATTAGTTGTAATAAAATAAATTCTAAACATGTAATAGGGTGTTAAAAAGTGATTGCCACAATACAGGTTGAATCACCTACAGTTAAATATATACATATAATATATATTACTTATAGAGCTGCTAATCCAATTTAACAACATCCAGGGCATTTATGTTAAAAAATTGCCAAAAAGTACTAAGTGGAATTTACAGAGATGAATAAAAAGCATAATTATGAAGTAGACTTGAAATATTCTAGTTGGTAAATGAGGCTGTGAAATTGCCTTTTGTTAAAGAGGAGTATTAATGACTACTTTGGTACTTAATTAATATTTTATGATACTTAGTCTGCTATTATGTGAAATGTTTCATACATCATCCTATATGATAGTTTAGAAATAGTTTTAATACCTATTTTATACCTTGCTGGTGAATTACAATCTTTTGATACTGAATATCTGTTAGAATAATTTAAAAATGCAATTTGTATGGTTATTATAACCAAGAGAAATTATTGAAGTTCACAGTTTCCTTGTTATT